CTCCTCCTCCTCCTTCTTCTTCCCCCCCCTTTCTTCTTTCTAAGCAAGGCAAAACTGGGAAGATTGAAAAGTCGCCCTGACTGGCCTAGTTATTCCAGATTGCAGGCTGCCAATGAGGCTGAGTCATTGGCCAAGGGCAGATGATGGCTGATGAGTCATGTCATGCAAACATGGCCCTCCAGCCCGCATTTCAGAGCTGCTTCATTGCACCCCAACCCTCGAATGTCAATTCAGATAAACAAGGCTCCCTGTAAATACGAATGGCAATGTTCAGAGCTTCTCTCATGCTTCCGGATGACATCTTGTACCGCCTGCATGCACAAAACAACATGGGCAGGAGGCATTAAACAAATGGGACCATCTGGGAGACCGTCTATTGTCTCTTTCTCCTCTGCTTTGGACATTGCTTTCAGCCACTGTGATAGACGATCTCAGGACAGCCTTGGCCAATCGCAATGTTGTCTCTGCAAATGAGCTTTCCGGGCATGGCTGGATAAACAAATCAGATCCTCAGCTGGATGAGCAACTGACAGAGCTATGGACTCCGTGTCCAGATGCAAAAAAAAACAGCCAGGCTGGATAAAAATGCCAATTCTGTCCCCTTTCCAAGAAAGAACTTTCAGGTTTTCATTGACAGATCAAGCAGGAAAAACAAGGACCGTGTGATTCATTCAATAATGGCATCGAGTTGTTGTTAACGATCGTAAAATCACATGGGTGTCACTTAACAACATCCTCCCTAGCAATAGAAAATCTGGTCCCAATTCTGTAAGTTCAAGGACTACCTGTAGGAGGTACACTTAGCAAGCCAGCCCTGAGAAAAGTAGGCAAGATTCTAGTCCTCAGGACTGCAGAAAGAGGACAGGGGAAGGCAGAGAACATTCTGCATGGGAGAAGCACTTTCATCTGGTTCACAACAGTTCTCCAGAAGGGTTTATGACAATGCATTGCAGCCAACTCACCACCGTCAACTTGCCATGGCCAACTGACCATGGGGCAACACACTGCAGGACAACAGTTACACTAACATCAAAGAAATGGAATAGACTCCTTAAAGGATGCAACAAGGACAGAATGAAATGTGTATGACAATAGAAATACATTTTTAATTTATTTTAAATAATGACATTGAATTGTTACAATTGTCCTGCAGCGCATTGTCCCGTGGTGAGTTGGCTTTGGCGAATTTCCCCATTCCCCTCCTGAGGGACATCTTCCATGTCCAGTTTGTTGTAGAATGGAGTTCTCCATTGTTATGGAACACAGTGTGATTTACACGAGCCCTGGTGGTGCAGTGCTTAGAGTGTGGTCCTGCAGGGGACTTCTGCTGACTGCCGGCTGCCTGCAATTTGCCAGTTCGAATCTCACCAGGCTCAAGGTTGACTCAGCTTTCCATCCTTCCGAGGTCGGTCAAATGAGGACCCAAATTGTTGGGGGCAAGAGGCTGATTCTGTAAACTGCTTAGAGAGGGCTGGAAAGCCCTGTGAAGTGGTATATAAGTGCGATTGCTATTGCTACATGTCTTTTTTAAATCTAAAATCTCCACTCTGGAGTTGTTGTTGCCTATCCTACCGCTGAAAATACAACCAGGATGCCGGAAGCCACCCGTACCAGAGCTTTCGGCGTTTCCTTACTTTCAAAAAGTGCTTGAAGCTGTAGGACGACCTCTTGTCATAGCTGTCACAGTGCTCTTCTCTTTTCTTGCAGAAGACCAGGGCTTTCTCGTAGAGGAACAGGTGCCTTTGCATGGGCTTGAAGCGAGCCAGGTCCTTCATCTTCGTTGGGCCCTTCCGGTGGCCCACCCACACGCTGAAGGACCCCTGCATCAAGACTTTGCCAAGCTCACCAAGGTCTCCCTGGAAGAAAGGAGAAAGGTTTCCACCCGGCCCTTGCTTTCCAAGGCTGGACTTCCCTCTGAGATGCCTCGTTTGCAGAAAACAGACCCCGAGCACAAGGCATTAAGAAGATAAAGGAACGGTTGCAGAATATCTGGGGAGATTCTCAGTCATCCAGGTCATGGTTGTCCCAAATGTGCTTTTTTTCCAAGAGGCAATTTGACTTTGTTTTTTTTTCTTTGAAGACATTTTGCTTCCCATCCAGGAAGCTTCTTCAGCTCTGACTGGATGGCGGGGAACGGAAGGATTGATACTCCTTGTAGACAGTTGTCATTTGTGTTTTTTAGCGCATCGTTGAGGCCACTTGGAGGTTTATTTGTGTCCTCAGAGTCGCCTGAGTAGTGCAAATGGGTGTAGAGCCTTCTTGGAGCTGCTGAAAGGACTATGTTGTAGACTGGAGATAGATGATGTTGTATTCCTCCCCCTCTGTTGAGAAAGGCCTGTTCGATTTGGACCTAGATGGCCTATTTCACACAGAAAAACCACCAAGTGGCCTCAACAACTCTTAAAAGGATGCAAATGACCAAGCTGTCTGCAAGGAGTATAAATCCTTCCATTCTCCACCATCCAGTCAGAGCTGAAGAAGCTTCTGGGATGAGAAGTGAAATGTCTTCAAAGAAAAAAAAAAAACAGGAAGTCCCATCGCCTCTTGAAAAATCACCTTTGGAACAGTTGCAGACCGCATAAAGCAATTCAATTCTTCTTGTATTACAAGTTTCTGTTGTTTCTTTCATTGTTTGTTTGGCACTTTTGATGTTATTCTTTTCTGTTCTCTCTGTGTGTGTTTTCTTTATTCTGTATTAATTCCGGTTAGTTGTTATGTTCTCTTTAAAACTTTTAAATATGTATTTATATACTTCTGGGTGCTTCATCATTGGAGGCTTTCAAGAAGACACTGGACAGCCATTTGTCCAGAGTGGTATAGGGTCTCCTGCTTGAGTAGGGAGTTGGACTAGAAGACCTCCAAGGACCCTTTCAACTCTATGATTCTATGTTTTGTGTTCTATGCTTTATATTCTCTCTCTCCTTCTGTATGTGTGTGTGGAGAGAGAGAGAGAGAGAGAGACAGACAGTCAGACAGACAGACAGATATAGACAGACAGATATGGATGGATGGATGATAGTGGATAGTGAATGAGAGAGAGAGGAGAGAGAGAGATGATAGATAGGAGAGAGAGAAAAAGAGGGAGAGATGATAGATAGGAGAGAGAGAAAAGGGAGAGATGATAGAGAGAAAGAAAGAGAGGGAAAGATGATAGAGAAAGAGAGATGATAGAGAGAGAGAGAGAGGGGGAGAGATAACAGATAGAAAAGAGAGAGAAAGAGGGGGGGATGATAGATAGGAGAGATAGATAGATAGATAGATAGATAGATAGATAGATAGATAGATAATAGATAGATTGATAGATAATAGATAGATAGATGATAGATAGATAGATAGATAGATAGATGATAGATGATAGATGGATCCTTGATAGATAAATAGATATAGATAGATGATAGATAGATGATATAGATCCTTGATAGATGATAGATAGATAATAGATAGATAGATAGATAGATAGATAGATAGATAGATAGATAGATAGATATAGAGAGATGATAGTTGGAGAGATAGGTAAATAGACAGATAGCTATACAGAGATATATGCTGTAAAATTTACTGAATTTTCTTTCTACTTCTATTTCCTTTTGTGCTGCATCTCCTTAAATTTATTGAGTTGGAAGACTGAAGCTATCTGGAGATCCCCCTCCTATTGAATTGATCTAGCAAGCCCTCTCCATGGAGAACATCTTACATCGTAGCCAGTGATGGAAATCTGATGCATGGAATCGTTGACGGACTTGACCAAGTCCAGCATGGCAACTAAAGCTTCTTGCAATTCCTGCACACCTTCGCAGCTCGTGCTATACTTCAGCAGCTCCTGCAAATAACACAAAAAAACAAGAACAAAAATAGAGTTGATTAATTTTTTCCCCCCAAAGACATAATTCTGAAAAATATTCCCCCTAGCTGTTCCTCAAGGGAATTTCTAGTAGATTCCAGAATCCTCCAGTTCAACGTGGATCCAGAGCCCCTTTTACAGATCTCAGCCAAGAGCCCCCATACCTTGAGAAGCAGCTGGTACTTGGTTAGTCTCTGTACTGGTTTGAGCAAATATGAATCCAGACTGAGCTTGTGTTCTAGCTTCTTCTGGCACTCCTGCAGAAGAAACGCAACTTATTTTCCATTTGGAACATGGACATCCATTTCTTTTAATTTGGATATCCACCAAATGGATGGAGGCAGATCCCCAAATTTCTCAATTAGTAGGGCTCTAATGCTTTGACTCCCCCATCCAGAAACATAGCCAGGGCAGGAACAACAACATATGTCCATTTCCCCCTCCCCAATATATATATTTGAAACATTCAACTTCTCAATCCGCAGAATAGGGTTTTCAACCCTTCTCTGTCTCTGTCTGTCTGTCTGTCTGTCTGTCTCTCTCTCTCTCTCTCTCTCTCTGTGTCTCTATCTTTCACTGTCTCTCTCTCTGTCTCTCTGTGTCTCTCTCTCTCTCTGTCTCTGTATCTCTCTCTCTGTCTCTGCCTCTCTCTCACACACACACAACAAAGAAATGCCTTGCAACTTAATGATTCAGATGTGCATGCAAACTTTTGAAGAATTTGCCTTTCGTTTCTCAGAATGTCTCAGGGGAGCCCCTAAAATAAAAACCACATCTCTCAAAACTCAATTATAACTCCACCCACATTCTCAGCAGATGGAAAACTAGGGAAAGTCTCAAAATATATTCCATTTATTGTACTCGCTGTAGAAAGACACAATACCTGGAAAAAGAGACTCTCGGCGTGCTGCCTCCAGAGAGATTCTGACTGTGGTTTATTCTGACAGTACTTCTCGTACATCTGAAAATCCTCCCGCTACAGAAGGGAACAAAAAAAAAATATAAAGACAAAAATCAACATCTACGTTCAAAGACTGCAAGGGAGATTTTAGAGTTGGCAAAAATGCAGATATGTCAGTGGTGTCCCTGGACCTTTCTGAATCTAGTGGATTTCCAGCCTTGACATAAGGGGACCCCACAATCTGTTTGAAAAAGCTGCTTACAAACCTTTTCCAAGAAGCAGCACCCAACTCTCTCTGGAGCTTCAAGGCAGCTTTCCAGGTGATGGAGGAAGATGCTGCACAAAAGGGAAAAGAAGGATGGAGAAGAGATCAACTTCCTGAAGTGGTGGCGAAGGCAAAGGGAACACTTGAAGAGCGTGCCAGCTTACTTGTTGTGGAAGTCATAGATCTCAGGCATGTTTCCAAAGAGAACATCTTTGCAGCTTCTCAAAAGGGGAGGTAAGAGGAAGGCCATGGTAGGGTTGTCCATCTCAGCTCGGTACCCCTGCCAACAGCATCACCCAATTTAGCATTAGGCAACCTTACTATTAAGTACTCTGAGCCAAAAAGCAGCATTAGACACACAACCTTCTTCAGTGCTGGGACATCTGGCTTTGTGGCATTTAACAATCCCTTTTTTTTTTTAAATCCAAAAGTACTTTCCTAAGAGCCCATGAACCATTCCAAGAGATCTAATTTTCCTTGGCTGTGTCAAATACACTAAGAGAAGTCCAAGTTGACAGCTGGCTTGCTCAAACACTGGCACATAATTCAGACCGTTCCACTCCTGTGGCAAATATTTGTACTGCCTCTCTTTTGAACTGCAGCCAAGACTTCGCATCTCCCTAAAATTCCTGGTCTCTTGCTTGATAGTTTCCAGCACTTGGCAATCAAGATCGTCTTGACTTGGGTAAGCCAAACTCAAGTCCTCTTTGGAAAAGTAGATTAAATAAAGGGTGGTTTTCTTGCAGATGTTTCATTATCCAAACTAAGTAACATCATCAGGGCTGATGTTATCTAGTTTGGGTAATGAAAGCAAGCTCAGAGAGCAGCAAGGACCCTTCAGTAATTAAATTTGAGGAGAATATAATGTTCAACTGCTTGGAGAGATCTTCAGGATTATTTTGATTTGCTAAGAGACTAAAGGGATGCGGTGGCTCAGTGGCTAAGACCTGAGCTTGTTGATCAGAAAGGTCGGCAGTTCGGTGGTTCGAATCCCGAGTGCCGCATAATGCAGTGAGCTCCTGTCACTTGTCCCAGCTTCATGCCAACCTAGCAGTTCGAAAAATGCAAGTAGAAAAATAGGGACCACTTTGATGGGAAGGGAACAGCATTCCGTGCACCTTCGGCATTTAGTCATGCCGGCCACATGACCACGGAGACATCTTCAGACAGCACTGTCTCTTCAGCTTTGAAACGGAGACGAGCACCACCCCCTAGAGCTAGAAACAGCTAGCACATATGTGCAAGGGGAATCTTTACCTTTACTTTAAAAGACGAAGTCTTGCTAGCTAGACTGTGAGGCCATGCCAGCCAGCTTGTTCTTCAGCTATCTTGTTCTGTGAAAGCCCAACCTTCTCAAATCCATACATTGAACCAGAGGTTCTAGTTTCTTCTTCTATCAGCCTTGACTGTCCAACAATTAAACATCTACTGTCAATTAAATGTTTGCCCACTTCAAATGCAACCTTTCAACCAATGGATGAAGATGGGGATGCCATCAAATTTGATACTTTAAATCTGTTCCCAAAGTGATTTAAGATGAAAAAAAAGAATTATACTGGTGGCCAAATGTCTATGAAGATTCTCAGTCATCCAGGGCATGGTTGTCCCAAAGGTGGTTTTTCAAAAGACAACTGGACTTTGTTTTTCCTTGAAGATGTTTCGCTTCTCATCCAAGAAGCTTCTTCAGTTGAAGTTATTCAAGTTCTTCAGTTCAGTTTTTCAACTGAAGAAGCTTCTTGGATGACGGGCACAGAAGTAGGATAGGAACACTAGATACATTTAAGGGAGCAGTACGATTGAGAAATTGCCCTAGAGTTGTGCGACCTTATGTGTGCAAAAAAATAATCAGATAAATAAAGACTCACCATCAAAACTGTGAAAAGTTCCTCGACGTACACTCGTTCTGTTTGTATCAGTTCGTGTATGACGTGGCTAGAATGAAATCAAACCAAAAAGCAGGAACAGATGACTGTACAACTATTTCACAAATCAACAACAAAACAAGAAGAGGGGTCGTTGGTGCTCTCTGAGCTTAGTTGTTTTCTTGCAGATGTTTCATGACCCAACTGGGTAGCATCATCAATGCTAATTTAAGGAACTTATGATGTTACCTAGTTTGGGTCATGAAACTTCTGCAAGAAGACAACCAAGCTCAGAGAGCACTAAGGATCCCACAGTTATATCCTCCTCCTCCTCCTCCTCCTCCTCGCACAGATGGCATTACCTACTCTGGGTAATGAAACATCTCCAAGAAATCAACCAAGCTAGAGAGCACCGCAGATTTCTCGTTTCAACCCTGAGCTACAAATATTCTGTTTAATTGATAAAACAAGAAGAGCAACTGAATCCAGCTTTTGGTAGAAACCATAAAAGACTTCAACCTTCATGCTCATGGTCATCTTGGTGGATTTTTGTCTGGATCAAAGAATTTAAGTAGCAAACTTGATGGATAGGAGATAAATAGAAAAGCCAACACACCTTTTCAACATGTCTAAACTGTCTTCACTTTCCGTGATGTAGTACTGCAAGGAATTTCTTTTCTCTTGGTAATTGTGGACGACTTCAATCTGGAGAGGACAGATAGAAAGAGAGACAATTAAGCAATAGCTCGTTTTTTAAGATTGCCTCTGCATTATGCCCTTCATGGATTAGAATCCTGCCCTTCAGCCAGTGTTTCTCAACCTTGACAATGTGTGGACTTCAACTCCCAGAATTCTCTAGCCAGCACAAAATATTGTAGCGGCTTCCACTGGCATTTCATTGGTTTTATATGTATATCCTACCTTGCGAGAATTTTGAGATTTCCTTGAAGTTTTCTTGCCCGGTAGAGAGATATCGAAGGAGAATTTCAAACTGGAATTGAAATCCACACCTTGGACATAAAGATAGGGATCATTTCTTGTTCAACTGCTCTCTTTTAGTAAATTCGGTCATGGCAGGAGGGAGGGGCGATCCCTCCTCCCCCCTCCCAAGGGAATGTTTAAAAGGGAGGGGGGAAAGTCACCCCAAAGGAGGGTGATTTTGTTGAAAGTTGAAATAAAATAAAAAGACGGGGGAAAAAAAATCAAACGATTTGAAATGAGTGAAAGAATGAATATATGCATGAATATGTATGTGTATGATATCTCTCTCTCTCTCTCTTTCTTCCCCCCAGGAGTAATCAATAAGTCAATCAGTTCATCAGTCAGCTGCTCCATTGGTCCATCCATCCATCCATCCATCCATCCATCCATCCATCCATCCATCCATCCATCCATC